GGGTAGCGAGTTTATGAGTTGATGTTAGTAAATCGAGATGCGTTTTGAAATCATTGTCAAATACTACACAACAATAATCCATTACTGGCAAAATACAGGTTTTATAAATATGCAGTCGAATAAAATTAGAAGCAGATCCGAATATTCGACTCATAGCGCCTAACATTTGCCTGCACCTCCTAGCTGTATTTTCAAGATGAAATTTCTATGTGAGATCTGATGAAAGATAAACTCCTAGCAATGTTATATTTTTTCTATCATTATTTGCTTCCCACTTAATAAAAGAGGTGGAAACTGCTCCGATGGTTTTTGATTAGAAAACGGCACATAGCAGTATTTATCGATATTTAAATCTATCTCATTTTCTAGCCTACGTTAAGCAACAAACCTACCTTATCACACTACTCAGTTAACCAACAAATATCTGTAATTGTTTTGGAAGAATACAATCTAATATTTCTTTTATAAGTCCAAGAGAGCTATGCTTCAGGAGCTATGCCTCTGTTCTGAGATTATTCCCGTATTCCACTGTTACGTAACAGTGGAACACTTACTGGGCACGGGTACGCACCAGTGCCAGTGACCGATGGCATGCCATGCGTACCGGTGCGCACTGGAACTTTTTTATAGAGTAGTTTATTCTACTTTGACACTATTTAGACTTTCCTATAAGAGAAATTATTCTGTTTTTCTGCTTAAAGAATAAAATAAGCAAAGAACCAATTTTATATTTTCATCAAATGTTCATGTCTTAAATATTCAAGGAGAAAAGTGCTCATGCCACTAGGACTTCTAAAGCCAATTGTAAGTTGGATGTCAGAAAGACGATCCTTTGTAATCTTTGGAGAGGTAAGGTCAGGACTATTTCGCATTTACATCGGACTACCACAAGGTAGTGCTTTAAGCCCGCTCATTTTTATTATATATCATTCAGATCTAGTTAAATGCGCCGGCGCTTTTTCATGTCATTTGTTTGCCGACGATCTGAACGTCCTTATAGTTCCTTCTATCACGAAGAATCTATTTACTATGATTGTTTTCCTGAGTGAGGAGGGAACTAAGGTATGTAACCGGCTATTAAGCTATTCCAAAAAGTAGAAACAGCCCATCAATATCTCCAAGACCGTTGCGCAGGTTTTCTTTTCACAAGTCCGGAAACCTAATGTAATAGTCTCAATGGGTGAACACTTAATCGAGTTCGTTTCTAGATTTAAATATCTAGGGTTTACATGGACAGATAAACTTTCACTTAAGCCCACTGTGGATAAATGTCTAGACAGTATACAAAAGTCATTTATTAAATTGAGATGGTTAAAAAAGAACAAAAACATTGCTACAAATGTACTCAGACTGTGCTTCTACGCATACGCCTTCCCTTTTTTTTCTTGGATTTTTCCCTTCTTCTCCCTACTTCCCTTTACACAACAAGAACTCCTCTACCGAAAGTATAGAGTGGGGCTGCGGTTAGTTTACCGTTGCCCGTTCGTAACGACTCATTACCTCTGTAAGTTGACGAATGAACCAAATCTAACTTTTCATGTTAAGAATTATCTAGAAAAAAGACTTTTATCATCTAATGAATCTGATCTCGGTCAATCGTTGTTTATAAAAGATATTTTCTTTTGGGATAAATTTAGGAGCGGGAAGGATTTAAGCCTAGGAAGCATCTTTCGCCTTAAGAGAGTTAAACTAATGATTAGCAATCACGAATCCTTTTTATGTAAATGGTTGGACTTTATAGCCCGTTTTTCCGAATAATGTAATCGAATCATAAAAATATACGTAGTTTCAAACTATACATAGACGTGTAACCTGTAACCTGTAAAGGGTGTAATTTACCCTTTTCTATTTGTTATAATTCTTTCATAAGATTGTTAAAATGTATTCGAAACATTTTTTTTGTGTATCCATCTTTGCAAGTGCCAAGTAGCAATAAAAATGCAAAAAGCAAAAAAAAGTGCTCATTGTAAACTTATTTCGTATTATGCCAACTTCGCGAACTAAAATTACATTAATTAGAAAAGTCCCATGCCTATTTCGTCTACTAGTTTAAAATATACAAGTTATACACGATACTGATCAAAAGCAATTCTAACCAGCATACCTATGGAAAAACTTACACGTCGCTTTGATTATGTTTTTCCGTTGCTGAGAAAATGAATTTTTTCCAAACCAGTGGCAACAATCAACGCCTGTATTGTGCAATTTTCACCATCAAATTTCATCAAAAAGCTTGATCGAGAAATTCAAAAAAAAATCGAAGTTCTTCAAAAGTTCTGAAACAGATATTATTCAGTTTTTTTATGTAGATTGTGAATATGTCTTTGGTGTTGCGAAAAAATTATAATTTGATGGTAAAAATTGCACGATACAGACGTTGATTGTTGCCACTGGTTTGGAGAAAATTCATTTTCTCAGCAACGGAAAACATAATCTAAACGACGTGTAATTTTTTCGATAGGTATGCTGGTTAGAATTGCTCTTCTTTGGATCTATAAAGATTTGATCGGTTTGCATGATACAAGTTGGACTTTTCACCTGTTCTGCTTGTGTTTGCGAAATGTTTTGATTACTTTTAATGTTAATTTTATTTTTATTCAGTTTTCTGTACTCAGTTTAACATGGAAAATTGGAATAAAGCGGTTTTGAAAATTAAAAAGATCCATAAAGATGGAAATTTTGATAATTTGTAAACATTTCATTAAATTTCACCTAATTTGAAAAGTTTAATATTTTAAAACTTTTTTATATGAAAATCGTTTTCGAAACTTTAAAAATGACATTTTCCCATGTGACTCGACCAGCTCTATCTAACCATGACAAAAAAAAGACAACATTTTTTTCTACATGATTTTCGAATTGTCGGCACTTTCAGAAAAAACAGAAAATTCGCAACAATAACTTGAAGAGAATAAAGGAAAAAATCAAACATATACACCAAGAAAAATATGTAAACATAAGTACGCGCACATACACACCAGAGCTCTGTATGAACTCAAATTTTTGAGTCCAGTCCAGTCCAGGCCGAGTCCATGAAATCCAAAAAATCTGAGTCCAGTCCATACGGAGCTCTGATACACACACACACATACAATGCATTATTGTGGTTTATAATAATAAAAAATGAAAATTAAACTATCATTAAGCACAACATAAAAAAGATCGAAATGAGAAAGAATTGGGGTGAAAAAGTATTTTCTTTTCTTTTATACATTTACTTGACTTGTATCGAAAATAAAAGACAAAAAACAAACAAATCATGCGCGCACGTTGCTCCAGATTTACAACAGATAACCATAATCACAGTGTAAAACACAGGCACACGCATGAGAGATCAAAATCAAATGTGATTGATTTTAAGCCAGAAAAAATGTTGCAAATAGAATTAAGGCCACTATTTGAACAAAAGATCAAAAAATTAGTTGGACCATTCACCTATAATTCACGTTATCTTCACTACTTGACACAGTCTATATGAACTGGAAGCATAAAATATTTCTACCGTTTGTCTTAAAGTCAATTTTTCTTCTTCTCTGAAATGTGACTGGTGTACCCCAAATCTGATGTCTTTAAACGCAAGTAAGTGTGCCTGGATGTTTATCTCTAATATACCAAGTAGAGCCAATAATTTACAGTTCACATTGAGTGATGGTACAACCATAACACACGAACCTTCCTTATACTCTTAGGTCTTAAAGTCAGCTCTAATCTGAGATGGCGCGAACATATTGAAGATATTGTACTAAATTGTAGAAAACGACTAGCCGCTATGCACAGACAATTTAAAGATGCACCCTCTTCAATTCGCCTACAAATTTATAAAACCTGCATATTAGCTAAACTAGATTACGCCTGTGCTCTGCATGATAATAACTTTGCTAATTTGGAAAGTCAACTTAAATCAGTTCAAAAATTAGCGGCTCATATGATCATATATGATTTTCATACATCAGGAAAAGCCCTTGTCGAAAAGCTAAAATTACTTTTACTCTCCGTGCGACAGAACTACTTCCGACTAGTGTATTTTTTTAAAGTCCTTAACGGCTTATCACACTTATCTCGCTTCAATCTTATACAGTTTGATGTGAGTAGAAGATCCGATCGTCTATTACAGCATTACAGGCAAGTTTTTATCCCATTTGCGCGCACTGAAACCGTTCTAAAATCCTTTTTGTATAGGACAGCTCGCAATTAGAACTCTCTACCCAACACTAGTTATCTCGCCAACAATAAAATCTTTCAAAACCAAACTGAGGCAGCACCTACAACTGTAAAAAAGCGGAGAAAAAAAAATAAGATAGAAAGGTGGCAATTTTTATAAATGTTTAAAACCTTTTTTGCTTTCCTGACAACATGTTTATGTGTAGGTTCAATTTTTTGTACTGTAAAACTAAAGTTTACTCTTTTCTGTACAAAACTGCTGTTATCGAAATAAAAATCAATCAATCAATCAATATTAAGTCTTACCTTGTATACTTGGTCTAAAACTTAACCCTTTGGCGCCAGGTTTTTTTTTGAAAAAATGAAAATTTTTTCTTTCAAAAAATGTCTGACACAAAGTTTATTGTTATATAGAAACAATGATAAGAAACTTCAACACGCATATATGCGTGTCCCGGCACCAAAGGGTTAATTTTCTGATAAGAAATCTTTTCTTTTCTTCTTTTTCAGCGATTAATTCAGTTTGTGTTTTTAACCTTAAATATTTCGTTGTTCTAACTCTTCTGGCGACGGTCTTAACGATAATTCTCGTTCTAATTACGTTTCAATTCTTTCACGTTCCTTTTTACATTCGTCTTTATTAACCAAAATATTTTTATCATATAAACCAGTCATTTGTGGTTTATCCTTAAGAAATCGCGCTAATGAATCATTTCGTCGCACATTAGCAAAACGTTTCAAAGTCGATTCATCTGGCTTTGTTTTGCACTAATACTCGCACTGTTGCGATCGCATTGCGGCGGCGCAAGTTTACCGCAATCGAAGACATGGTATATGTTCGTAATTTAACGCCCAGGTCGAACAATAAGGTAAGTAAACGGCCGTATTCGGCTAAATTACGGTAATTTTCGACCTGGAAACGGTGATCGTATACGGTGCATCGTATTACAGTTCAATTACAGTAGAATACGGTGCCGTATATGCTGTTCGTCTACGGTGCTACGTAAATGAGCCGTATTCGACCGCAGTATACGCGCCGTAACTAAGCCGTATCAGACAAGTACTTTTAATCAATAGTCAGGTACGACGAAATGATATAAAGTCGATAGTTCTCGTTCGACTGCGTCTGGTACTGTCAAGCTCTTTATGTTCCAATGTCCTCGTGAGCCGTTCCATGATAAAAATAGTATATGCTCTATACCGTAAACTGACCGTTTTTAGGCCGTTTTGTCGACAAGTCAGTCACCTCTTTTATTTCGCTTCCGCTACTAGTATAAATGGAACGCTATATATATGAAACTTGAAATTTGTCCTGAAAAAGGCCTCCTAAAAACGGCCCGTTAACGATAACGTTTTCGGCGACCTGGCGTTCGTATAATTCCAGACCGTGAAGCGCGTATATACGGTATGTTTACGGTCATTTACAGTACGTATACGCCCATATACGACGATCTTATTTAAGCCCTAAACACGCCGTATACGGTGCGGCGTAAATACGGTCGTAAAACACCGGCCTGGTTTTACGGTAAAATACGGTGCGTAACCGGTCCGTATATAATCGTTTACGGTCGTAAAGACGGCGTATTCGAATCGTATACGATAACCGTAACAAACCACCTGGGCGCATACTCATCCAGACTTGAAAAGATTATGCACAAACGAATAGGACGACATCTGTTTTCGTACTTTTAAAATTTCTGTTTTAAAAGAAAACTTAGTCAACTATATTCAGGAAATTAACAACAAAACATTTTGTGCTCTTTCTAACACATAATATATTCTGAAGTTTTTTCGAAAAAGTGCATGTAGCAGGGTATACGGTTTACGAACACAACATGGTCATTTTTTCATGAAACAAATTATCGAAGAGACCAAAATTAAGTTAAATTGAACCAAATCGAATTAAAAATGCAGAAGGATTGTAATCGTTTCTCTCTTATTTTGGTTGCTTTATATCAAAGTGTATCCTTCTGGTTACTCTTTAGTCCATTTTTTATTCTAGATGAATAATTCAATGGTCGATTTATCTCTCTCTCGATCATCATCAAATATGAACACATCTCAAACATCTGTAGATTATCAGACTCAAGTAAGAAAAACAGCATGTTATGAACCAAAAGTCATTAATAATTCTCAGAACACGAATAATCGATGTAATGAACAGATTATGAATTACCACAGGAATGTACGAACATCAAATTTGTTTTTCATTTGTATTAATTTATAAAGCATTCTTAGTTTTAACTTGTCGCTATCAGGATCCCACTTTATGTAGCTGTGTAAACAAGCAAAAGTCAACTTTTCTTCCTCGATCGTGCGAATTGTATCAGTGTTTAAAGCACAAGTGTTATCATTTTTCTCTCAAAGTCATAATTATTCACTATGAATTTAGAATGGTACTGTTGATTTGGACAAGATGGCCCCCGAAGACATGACATCGAAAGAATACTATCTTGATTCAACAGCGCATTTTGCTGTTCACGAAGTATGTAAAACAAAAAACGTATCTGTTGACTTTATCTCAATCAGTTAAGAAATATGATTAGATTGATAGAACGTTGAAAAATAAATAGACGCTTTGCTCTCTTTATAAACTATGTAATAGCGTTTACCATCAAATTGATACTCATTCTGTTTAATTGTTTGATTTCTATTTTTTTTTTATAGGAATTACTCAAAGATGAAATTCGAACAAAAACATTTCGAAATGCCATTATAAATAATCGTCATTTGTTCAAAGATAAAGTTGTACTTGATCTCGGATGTGGTGTTGGCATATTTGCCTTATTTGCAGCTAAAGCCGGTGCTAAATTAGTTATTGCTGTAAGTTAGACGAAAAGAATAGGCTAGTTCTTTATATTTGTTTGTTTACTCTAGACTATTTGTTTCAGGTTGAAAAATCCAATGTTATTGAATACGCTAAACGAATTATTCGAGCAAATCGTTTTGATAAAGGTAAATAGTCATTTTCAAAATCGTGTTTTCATATTGACTAAATGGCATTCGTATGTATTTCTCATTTTTCTAGTCATTAAATTTGTGAAAGGAAAAATTGAAGAAATCGAACTACCAGATGGTATTCAACAAGTGGATATTTTAATTGCCGAATGGATGGGCTATTGTTTATATTATGATTCAATGATACAAAGTGTTATACATGCCAGAGACAAATGGCTGGTAAGTAACAATGACTTTATTGATATTTACTAGGGGATGATCCAGAAGAATAAAACACGTATCGCGTAAGAGATTTTTCTTGTTTTCGAATTTTGAAAGGAATCACCGTTTTTATCTTATATTATTTAGTAAAAGACGTAGACTTCCGTTAAAACCTAATGTTTCATGCTTGTTTTTTTGGGCTGATGACAAATGACTACTTATCAGGTCCACACGTGAAATTGTAGCGAAAAAGCCTTAATTCTGGTTGTTTTCGACCGATTGTAAAGAATGCAATCTTTATGATATATGATTTAATTTAAACACATTTTAGTGTAGTTGACGACAAAGATCGCACTTGAAAGTGTAGAGAACGTTATATTTTTCAATAGCTGAAAAAACATGAAAAATAATTCAGAACTCTGTAAAGAACGATTTCAAATAGTTTGCTGTCTTGGATCTTCACAACATTCTTCATATAGTTCTCATTTTCAAATTTTGTCAAGAGAACTTTTAGTCAAAAGACAAGATTTGTATCATCTAAAAGAGAAATAGAAATGAAACACGAAAGATATTAAGTTCCCTCTAGATCATCCGTTCTGCGGTACGTGAGAAAGTAGCTATCCTCTAACATATTTCGCCGTTGTTTATTATAATTTAGATATATTTAATTTTCTCCTTTCCGTAGCAATGACAGTAAACAAGATTTATGTGAAACAACGTTTGTCTTTGATGACTTGGTTTTTTACATGAATCCTTTAGGTTACTAGTCATTCCTTCGCCTTTCTTAAAATTAATACCGCCAGCTGAAATGTTTTGTGCCAAGTATAAGCAATATATTATGACGGACAAAATGAGGTGGATAGAATACCAGAAAGGAAGAGATAAAAGTACTTTTTTTCATTTTTTGTTACAAACATAGTAATACTATTATACCATCGAAGAATTTTTTTTCACGTATATTTGCTCTATGAATAGTAAATCTGACTGTTAGTTAGCAGAGTAACGATCTCAATTGATCGCTTTCCTGACGTATAAAGATCTTATATTACTTGTACCGTATAATTAGCAATTAAACGGTTATTCTGTAAAAATTTATTTCGAAAACTAATAAATTCAATTTTTTTAATATTTATTGGATGTTTCTTTAGAAACCCGGTGGTCTTATATTTCCCGATCGTGCTACAATGTATTTAGTTGGAATTGAAGATCGTGATTATAAAGAAGATAAAGTAGAATGTAAATATATATCTTTGTAATGTTTGTTTCAAAATTTTTTTGAATTATATTTAATTCTAGGGTGGTCGAATGTACATGGATATAATATGGGCTGTTTAAAAAGTTATGTGATGAGAGAACCCTTAGTTGATACCGTTGATAAACGACAAGTTGTCACTGACCCATGTGCAATTAAAGTAAGAGAAATTTTATCTATTCTCATACTAATAATAAATTCTTTTATTCTAAACATTTATAGACATTAGATATGAATACAATTAAAATAGAAGATATTAATGTATTATCTCCATTTAAATTACGAGGATTTCGTGATGATTATATTCATGCATTTGTCTGTTATTTTGTGGCAGAATTTACAGCGTGTCAAACAAGTAAAGCACATATCTCAACTGGTACGTCATACAATATAATTGACAATTTTGTATGATTTATGTATGTATTTTTCTTTTCAGCACCAGGAGCCGGTTATACTCATTGGAAACAAACCGTATTCTACTTTCCTGATTATATAACGATTAAAAAAGATGAAGAAATCGACGGACAATTTATGTGCAAAGTCAATTTAGAAAATACGGTAGATTTCTATCATTATACTATAAACCTTAATAGATTATGAAAGAATATTTTTTCATTAATTTAGAAAAAGCTTGAATTTAGCATTGATTTTCAATTTAATGGTCAGATATCATCATTATCAAGTAAAAATCAATATTATATGCGTGGTTAAACAGTGTCAATAAGAAGAACTTCTCATTCATAAAAACATTTCTAGGCAAATTATGTTACAGTGAAAAAGTAGGAATATTATTTTCTTATGTGATTTGTTTGCTTGATTGTTTATGTGTTGTTCACTTATGGTTATTTTTCATTCGTCTAATTTTTATACTAAAACATTGTTATCTTTGAACGAGAATTATTATTTTGTTTTGTCGTTCTTCTCATTTTTGTGTATTTTTTTTTGTCCATTCTTTCTGTTATTATCTGTTATGTTTTTCTTTATTTGGGATGTTTTTTTAAAAAAATTCTTCCCGACTTTTTTAATACATAAACAAATAAATACACAAATTTCTTTTCCATAACTGTGGAAAATAGAACTGGCATCGAATGTACAATTTTTATTATTTCTAATGTAAGTCAGGCTTAACATTCACTGATCATATAATTATCTCTTGTTTAATAGAATCATCACGAATTAAATGATAATATTATAACAAGTCAGAAAATGATCAACAATTGTTCTCAGATTGTTAATTCATTAATTAATTCTTATTCTACATTAATTTTATATTTATGAGGTGGTTGTTAGTTAAAAATTGTTGATCATTCTGACTTGTTATAATATCATTATTAAATTCGTGATCAAAAACTACTTATATAAAGTGATTTTGATAAGTTTTAAATGTCACCGCAAAAGACAGCTTATCGGCTCAAAGTTCTGAAGACAATCTAACCTAAGCGAGTATCTGTGACTGTTTTAAGGAAAACCTCAAAATTCCTTGATAGGGCTTTTTAGTTAACTGGTGGACTACAGCAGTATATCGGAGGGCACCAAATCTATCTCGTTTGTCTGATACAAAACCGTCTATTACAATAGCTCATTTTTACTAAACTGATAGCTTTTAAGTCAAAGTTCCCAGCAACGTTCTTCAAACCTTTTTCAGAGATACTTTCATTCATACTCTGTTTGAAAATATAATTAAAAATCTCAAGTTTAGTTCCAGTAAGATCATCATCAGTCGACTGCAAACAACTTTGGTTTATAGGGTTTTTCAGTAAGATACTCCACATTTGATCAAACTTGTGTTTAGGGCTCTCAGTGTACTATCTGCCATATTCCAATAAAAGCAGTTCGAGAATGCAGAGTTTTGTAATTTGGAAGTACACAATATGGAAGATCTGTTACAGTTTTCAAGTATCGGCCAATCATTATTGCCGAGCTTCGCACGTTCAAAATTGGCTATTTTCTAAGATAACGAATTTTAATAGTTTTTAAGACTTCTCGTAAAAACTCAAAATTTCAGTAAGGTTTCAATTTTTTTGATTTACGGTTTCTATTAGAATTCATCGAAGCACTCTAAAATGGTCGATTGAGTACTTTCAGTCACCGCTTATCTAGAATGACTCATTTTATATATATCATTTTAATCATAGAAAAACAGACATAATGTTTGTGAACAAATTAACATATCTAAAGTAAAAGTAAACTTATGTCAACACAACGCATTCTAGTATATATTGGCTCTGTTGATTCCTACACTCGTTGGATTCTTTTGCCTAATTGTACTTTTAAATGATACACTGCAATATTAAATATTCTCACTATTTTTTATCCGATCGATTAAATTTAGTTATTGTTATTGTGATTACAGCTAATTTGTTGTGCACGTTCGTGATAATCAGATTCACATAATATCTGATTATCGATAAGAAAAAATCGATCACCAATACAAAATCTAAATTTAAAGAAAAATTTTTGAAAGTCATTGTTTTCATACAGAATGGCGTAATAAATATCATGGTGACGTATGTCAGATGACTAATAGTTTTCAAGAAGGAATGTTTAAAATATGAGTTCGAGATACACATTAGATACCTTTGACGACAATCGTAGCAAGCAAAACAATTTAGATGATAAACTAAATGTTTAACTCGCATCACCTAAAATAAGAAGAATAATCGTCTGACTGTTTACATTTTATCCTATCAAAATTTTTACCATATCAAATGCTGATATCGATTTTTTACATTGGGCACAAGAGCCAGGAATTTGAAAAAGACGTAAATAATCTGAATTAAAACAACATAGAATATGACTATTACTATTATAGTGATGTCTTTTCAAAGTATTTTGTTTTTCTAGAAAATTAGAATGATCTAGTATATAGCGATTTGTTGAAGTGTTCATCTTCCAGGTAAAATGTATATAAACTTCCTGTCAAACGTTTCACACAAGTGGTTTTGATGTTTTTTAAAAAAAGCACCCTGCGATTCTCTAAGCGTCTAATAGTAATCGAGATAAAATCGTTTTGAAGATGATTATTGTTGAATTTAATAGATCTCACATTTTGTGTCGTTACCTCTTTTGCATAATATTAAACTTTCTTTCACAAATAATGTTGAACCAACTTCAGAAAGGCGACAATCACAACATACACCTGAAATGGTTGATGCACTAACTACTTGAAGAAAATCTACATTTCTACATACATTTTAAATTTAATGTAGAAAATATTACAAATATGTACATACATTTTAAACAATCTTCGTGCCATATTTTCTGCAAAGCTAGAAAATAGAGGGAACCGAGAATAGTAAGAAGACATTATGCTTCAATTTTCTTACCTTGTAACATGTATCGATCATTGATTATTTGATTACATCCAGCACAAATAAAATATTTTTGTCCATCACCATGTGATAGAAGTGCTCCTGCTTCTGCTACAGATTCACATGCGCTTCCTTTCGACATTAATTCATTTTGCTCTTCCAAATACAGTAAAACAAATATAGAACTTATTTCCAACTATTTTGTATAGTAGTATCTGTTAACTATCTATTAACCTCTATTAACTTTTTGTACGAAAAATAAAAAGAGAATACGTTTTAAACAAAAATCATTCCAACATGTTACACTCTTTCACCCTTGGACAAAAAAATAACTGGAATTGACGATAATTTTATACGTTTTTATCAAATTCCTACATGTGAACTGAGACTTATCACAAATTTACGGTTATTTGCGTGTAAATTTCGTAATTTCCTCGTGTTTACACGTAAAACAAGCGTCTAACGAACAAGTAACGAATAGTAATTAGGATGGACTTGATGACGGTTTTCGTTCAAATTTATCGTGAACGTTTCTTATTTCAAGGACTACTTCATCTTACTTCTTACGAAAATTTTGCCCATAGCCAACTTAACTTAGCTTCTCTTAAAAACTTTGAAGTACGTTGTCGTATAGGACAGACATTAACGCATATTATGCTATACTCAGTGTTCCTTCGTTTGTTTACCAAAAAAACGCTCCTATTCACTCCATATTTTGACAGAATTCAACTTCTTCTCAGTTCATGATTTACAGTTTCTACAGGATGAGCTATCAATGACGTTTTTCCTCGATACCTCATTGCAATAAGAAATATTCGTCGAGAAAATTTTCTTTTACTAATACTCTATGTTTTGACAATCTATTTTTCTGTCAGTGTTTGTGATCTAGTATGTCAGATAAATAGCATCTAGGACTTGTGAGATCATGGAAAATTCGCATTCGCGGCGAACTGAATTATTCTTTACTATTTCGGTATGCAACATGTCTTCATACTGGCTATAGACTTACAATGTTTATATTTTCTCTCACTAGTTCAGGCCACAATCGATTGGGAATTCTCTATTAGGTAACGATGGTAACTTCTACAATGATCAATACCGATGCAAAATTTTGTTCAAATATTACTTCATTTTTCTACTATTATCATTGTTTTATCTATCGTCAATAATCAGTCCGTGGTAGCCTATGTAAGCACAGACCAAAAGTAACACCTTATAGGACGAAAGCACACAAAAAAAAGAAGAACTTAGAATTAGCACAAAACATTATAATAACACTTTATCGAAGATACACGATAGAAACGTACAGATCTGTCTTTTTTTCAGCTGTATAGCATTCGTCCTATACAAGCAATCGTTTCTTTAAGACTTCTATTGCATTTTATTGACAAATTAATTATGTAGATAACTATGAGTCTTTCTAATGAATAATGCATTAAGGATCATAACTAATATTAAGTATCAGCTAAATATTTTGAGTAAATTCTACTTTGATATTCGTGATCAGTACAACATAATAAACGCTATTGAATGATATGATTCAAGTAATCCTTCTACCTTCATTTAGTGAGGAAAGGAATAAGTATATAACAAATGCTATGCTAATTACCGGATTAATTAGGAGATTATTGATGGTTAGGTAAAACTCAGTCTTCTACATTTGTGACATCAAGTTCTTCATTAATTAACCTTGATATCGTCGGTAAATACAATATTAGTAAGTTATTGTAGCTTCTTTTGGTTGTTATTTTAATTACATCCTTGTTCTACCACCATGTGCCAGTTTACGAGTCATTCACAGACATCGTCTGAGGACTCTTGCTCCTATGTATTAGATCCATTTCTACCAGTTTTCCACTTCAAAGCCTTTTTATACCTTGATTTAAATAAGCGCGCACTAATATACTTTTCTCACTTAAAAAATTTACACAATATTTAAAATGCACAAGAAATGAGAACTCATAATCTATCGTACACTATGTTTGTATATTCTTTTCATTGAACTCTTATGTTTCTCACCTTCTTTTGAATAAATAATGAATGCAAATAAGAGCAATCTCAAGAATTCGACTACATTTAACCTGGCATAGCAATTTCTTCTGCGTTTGATTGCACATTAGTTTTGGTTTTGTTTCCATTACACGTTATATATAGTTAAACATATATCTATTAACAGCTCGATTTTCAAGCATATTTAAGTTTTTATTATTTACTCATTTTAGTTCTACTTATTTTCGATTCAATTTAGCGCGCATGCCTACATTATTTCTAGATTTTGCTAGAAATGTTACCTGTATGGATTGGGGACCTTCCCAGTTTTGTTTGAATAAGATAGAGAGAATATGTGAGTTAACGCGCAAAATTTGGTGTGCCACTACACATGGATTTATGCTGACGCTAGGTTGGAGAATCGGTTAACTAACAGTTGAGCAGGACCGGTCACCTCCCTTATAAACACAGCGAACCTTGTAACCTGACACCTTAGACCGTCCCAAGCCTGATTGAGGACTTATATACTTGATTTTCTCCTGCTGTGCTCTGCTCATGAAGGTCAAGTACAGATATAACCTTTTATTATGCATTTTATTTGCTAACTCTCTACTTGCAGTCTTAAAGTGTTGGATCCGTTTCACCGAACGCGGTGCATGGGAATAACAACAAGTAACTGTTGAACAGATAGAAAATATGCGCATATTTCATGTATGTTTTCTTTTTTAGCAATACAAATTCATTAGTTGAAAGTTTCAAGTTTAAACAAAAACAAAATGGGATTTTATTGCCTTTTCACATGTTTTTTAGTTTTTACATCACATTTACCGAAATATTCACTAATCTTTCGCTCAATGAATTTGCGTTGTTCAAAGACGAAAAGTGCACGAAATAAGCACATCTTTTCCATCTGATCACATATCAACTAACGATATTTGAGAAATCTTCAGTATATGAATGTTAGAAGAAAAACTGGTGAGTTTTTTTGTACAAGACAAATACGCCCTATTCTCAAACCTGAATTAGAGTAGACAGGCATACCGTTTTTTGTCCGGTTAGAACTGAAAGATCGTTTTGACTCTTGTAAGTCAGCTTTTTGTGATTTTTATACTACATATAAAGGCTTGGTAATACGGTATCGTCTAAAACTATAGATGACTTTTTTCTTAGGAAGCTAAAAATAAAGTAACTGCTGCTTTAGCCACAATACGTTTCTTGAGATATGGGTATATGCCGTCCATCAGAATCATCCAGAACGTCAATACTTCGATCCGTATGTTCTTATACGCTCTGTCATCCACTTTTCACTTCGTACTATGTTGAAACTTTATTATTTTTAGATATTTGTTATGTATTTTCGAGGGTGACTAAAAGTCTTGTTATATTTATTTTGCTTGAATTTTGTTGTACTTGATCTTACCTCATACTATATACTGAAATTGATTCAAGACGCTGAAAATCCTGATGTATCATTAACAGAATATAATTGATGGAATCGTAATGCGTCCATAACTTCATGTACCAACAAGAGTGGAACAATTGCCATCTTGTTAGATCTATTAAATAGGGTCATGTTGTGACCACTTTACGAGATCGGGTAAAGTAACTTTGATACGAGGTAGTGTTAATTCTGTTGATAATATGATAAGCAAACCACATTTAACTTTAATTTTGTTTTCCTCGTAGAATTTTATTTTATTTTATAAATTTATTTACAAATGCTAAACGTTTCGAAGTCTAAACCGACTTCTTCTTCAGTAGTACAAATTATATGAATAACAAGTAATTACAGAAAAGAACATACTATATACGAGAGCTAATTAAAAATGTCAGCAGATAAAGGTGGTAAAATTGTAGCTATGAATACGTCAGATTATAAAGTTAAGATAGAAGGAAAGTTAAGTAATAGTAGTACATATACAAGTAAAGATTCAACCAAAAGGTTAATAAAACAGTTAGCTGGTTTAGTTAAAGTAGTTCAAGATAACAAAGAAATTGACAGTAAACAATCAAAAAATTTCAAAAAAGAGAAATGTTTACCTTTCATTAGAGGGCAAATTAAAACTCGCAAAACGGATAAACCTATGAGACTTATAGTTTTAATGCGTAATACAATTGGCTCAACAATGACCAAACATTTAACACAAGTTTTACAAAAATTAGGAGACAAAGTGAGATCGTTAAAAACTACAAAACATTTAATAGAAGATATTTATAAAGTTAAAATAGTCGGTCCAAAAATGAGTTTAGCTAGCTTAGACGTAGTTGATTCATTTACATCGATAGATCGAGATGATGCGATAAGAATTTTATCGGAAAAATTAAAACAAGATAACAGTTAGAAAGCAGATACAAGTTTAAATAAAGATACCATCATCAACATGGTAAAATTTGTTAACAGATAATGTTTATTTTCAATTCGAAGAACATTTTTATTGACAAAAACACGGGCTTCCCATGAGATTTTCTCTTTCACCGCTATTAGCGGATATTGTACTTAGTAATTTCATAGAAAGATATTGAGATAGGGCACGTTTTCCATTTGTCTATTTTGGACGATATGTTGATGACGGGCTCCTCATTTCAGAGTTAAGTGAAGAGCAAGTAAAAGAATTAGTTGAAGATTTGAATAGTAAAACGACAAATTTAAAGTTTACATTCGAATTCGAGAAAAATAATCAAATACCATTTTTGGATGTTTTAATAGCAATTGACAAAATAAACAAATATTTCACAACCAGTTGGTTTCGAAAAGAAACAGCATCAAATTACCTTTTGAATTTTCATTCGAACCACAATTCAGCAATCAAAAATAATATCTTCTAAAATATGACAAATCGTGTTTTAATAACCAACGATGGTCACAAAAATGAAAAAGATTTAAATTTGCAAAAAATTTTAGAAAATAGTCAATTTCAAAAAAGTATTAAAAATAGAATCCAAAAAGAAGTTAATGATAATTTAAGTAGAAGTAATAATGTTAACAATAATCAACAGTGTTCTGGTAAAGTTGTAATTCCTCATTCGAATGGTAACACCGGACATTTGAAAAGAGATTTAAGAAGACATCAAATTAAAACATTTACATAACACTCTAAAAGTATTGGTTCTATTTTAAATAAAACCAAATTAACTGCACGCAATAAGCTTGGTGCTAAGAAGAAAGATTCTTCTATTTTTGCTAAAATGCTATTTATGGTATAATAGGCAAATGTGGATGGATGCATCTATGTCGGAGAAACGGAAGATTTTGAGAGACGTCACAAACAACATATGAGTAATGTCAAATATCATAGCGTTAATGAGTCAGAAATAGTTCAACATTTGTTAGTTAGTAACAGTAGTTGTAGTATTGAATTTGAGAAAAGTTTAATTTTTGATAGGGAAGAAAGTAAACATCGTAGAAAAGTATTAGAAGCAGTTTATTCAATAGCAAATAAATCATATAATAATAAACGAATGATATGTAATCAGTGGAAAGCTAGTATCAGTAAATGGATAGAGCCCTAGAGATCAAATCTTATATAAGATTCCTATAGGACTCTTATAGAATATCTGCAAGAATCTTATAAAAATCTTATGAATTTCTTAATAAGGCAGTCGATGGAAATGTGTAATTTATTGATAAAAATCTTATATAAGAAACTGATAAGATTTGTATAAGAATCTTTAAGATTCTTATCAGAGTCTTATAAGATTCTTATATAAGAAATTGGTAAGATTTATGTAAGATTCTGATAAGAATCTTATAGGAAGGATATAGTACAATTTCATCACATTCTTTAGTGATCAGTACT